CTCTCGTTCTTCGCTGGTACTGAATGTGGTCTGCGATTTGATCTCTTTTCTGTCTCAAACATACTGGCAACCGGGAGTAGTCTGAGGCAGTGCCCAATTCTTCTTCCCCGCGCCAATCAGCTTTCCCATTGACGCAGAAATCTCCAATACTGGGCTTTTCCAAGAAAGATCTCGAGAAGTACTACAACGCGGAGACTGGAGAAGCAGCGAGATCAGACACGGTATGCCGGTGAAGACACAATCGACTTGAAACGGGCTGACGCGGTCTTCTCGCTTGTTGTTCAATTCATCTGAAAGGTGGGATGGACCCAGCAGTGGTTATCGTTCATTCAGACCCATTCAGATGGCCGCTCAAAGTGCCGCCTAGAACAGATTTTGCAATGCTGACATGCAGGATCAATGGCATCATATCTGAGATTTAAACAGCTTAGTTTGTCCCTGTACGATTCCGTCCACATTAGGCTGACGACTCATTTGATATGCAGAATGACAGTCTTGCAAACCTCTCTAGTTGTTGGCTCTTCGGGGCTCATTCACTGTTCAAGTCTCTTGTCCAGATTCATATGATCGTGCACCCATCCCTGTCTCCTTCCAACTCCCACCTCAACGACGCATGTCTCTCGCGCCTCACCTCGTTCCATTGGCTGTCCTCCTTCTCTGTTCTATCTCGCTAGCATTCGCAGACCAGTCCCCCAAACTTTCATCAGACTCCATCAGATCCAGCGGAGGAAGATTGTAGTGCGGGATGTCTCCCCAGGGCAACGCCTGTTGATGCGGCGTTCACAGGTGCCTTGGTGCTACAAAAGAACAACGGTACAGTGGTACTGGCATTGGGGCGTTCGGCCACACATTTTTTCAGCTTTCGCAGAATCGGGGTAGGAGGTTCGCATCCGACGTACATAAGTAGGAATAGCATCATGCTGCGGAGGGCCCATGTACACGGAATGTGACGCGAAAGGTGCAAAAGCAGACTCGTGCTGAGGAAGAGCGTGGCTCGCATGGTGCTTTTTCATACCATTCGGGAGGAATGGCGTAGGCTGGGGGTCGCATGCATGTTGGCGTCATCGAAGCCCCTAAGTTCAGATGGGGGTTTTGTGTACTGTGTTTGTGCGGGTCGCTTGAGATTTTCGGGGAATTGTTGTTGCATCGGACTGGTGCTTGTCTGGGTTTATCTAGTATTGTTGAAACTTTGGACAGCGTCAGGTAGTTACCCTCCGCATTCTTGAGAGCCTGGTTTAGCTTCTCAGGCTAAGAAGATATCCTGAGCTGAGCGAGCTTTTCCGGGCAATTTGAAGAAGATAATAACAGATTTGGAAGAAGTCGCAGGAACATAAACTTGCTTCTAGTTGCTGGAAACTTTGACACAGATGAGCAGCCTTGACGAAGCAACGAAAGGACGGTCCTGGATATATGAGACAGTGCTACTATATGGGCCTGGAGCGCGGGCTGCGGCAAAGCAGGCTTCTTTGCCAATGATGGGTGCAGATTGCACCAGCCCTTGTGCAGGTCAGATTGGGTCGGGAGGTAAAGAGAATCATTATCGCAGACGAGATGATGGCACAAGAGCAGATATAAGTGTAGACTATAAGTGTCCAAAATGACGTGAATGTCAGACCAACAGAAGCATCGAAGGTCCACCACGGCTGCCAAATGCAGTGAACATAAAGTAAACACTCGGCTAAAGGGCGGACGAAGTAGATTACTACGGTCACGCACAAGGGTAGAATGGTCAAAATCATTTTGAACTTTCAAGGGCAACCGTAGAAATTTTTATACAAACGTCATTCCGGATATATTGTCGGCAACCGTAGAAATTTTTATACAAACGTCATTCCGGATATATTGTCGGGAGATTACGACGATAACTTTTCTTCTTTATTATTTCGCCCTTTGCCTCCAATATCAATCTGAACATGCCCGTCAGCCAAGACGCCCCGTTTCAGCCACCATATCCAACTACCCTACCATGCCTTCCAATTCTTCTTCTCCCGCTACCTCCAGCCACACTCAACACTCGGATACAGCACCTGCATCACCACCTGCCGTACATCATGACGAAGAAAACCCCTCACACGTTAACTCAGAGAAAGAGAAAGAGAAAGATGAGAAGAAGTCATATCTCGTCGATTGGGAGCCAAATGACAAGGCCAACCCTCGCAATTGGTCAACGTCCTACAAGAGCTGGATAACCTTTCAATTGGGAATGCTCGCCCTGTCTGCCAGTCTGGGCAGCAGCATCATATCCCCAGCCGAAGATGCCATCATGGCCTACACCCACATCAGCTCCGAAGTTGCAGTCTTGCCTATCTCCTTCTACATCCTGGGATTCGCCTTTGGCCCGCTGTTATGGGCTCCAATCTCCGAGGTTTGGGGCAGGAAATTGAGCATGGAGCCCGCCATGTTCTGCCTCGGTCTCTTCTCCATCGGCACGGCTACCAGCACTAGTGCTGCGTCCATCTTCATCACACGGTTTTTTGGTGGTGTCTTTGGATCTGCGCCTGTGAGCAACGTATCCGCCGCGCTGGGAGATATGTGGGCGCCCAAGGCGAGGGGCACCGCTGTGACTTTCTACGCCGTTGCTGTTGTTGGCGGACCAACGCTTGGGCCTGGTATGCAACCATGATACTCTAGAGGTTGATGCAGATCATCTCGCTGACCCCTAGAAACAGTGATCGGAGCCGCTCTCACGGTGAACAAGCACATGGGATGGCGCTGGACTGAATACATCGAAGCGATTTGGGTATTTACCATCTTCGCCATAACCACCTTCTTCCTCCCTGAACTCTATGGTCCCGTGCTCCTCAAGCGCCGCGCCGCCTCTTTGCGCAAATCGACTGGTAACTCAGCGTACTGGCACCCGCATGAGAACGTCAAACTCGACTTCAAATCAATCGTTACAAAGCATCTCGCACGGCCTTTGCGCATGCTGTTCACGGAACCGATGGTCGCTTGCATCGCTTTGTACGCTAGTTTTGTCTACGCGCTACTGTACTTGACATTGGAGGTCTTTCCTATCGTCTTTGCTCAAATGCGCCATTACAGCCTTGTCGTCAGTACGCTTCCGTTCCTCGGCCTATTCGTCGGCGTGCTCGCCGCCGTCTTCATCAATCTTGCCAACCAACCCCGCTACATACGCATCGTGGACCAGAACGGTGGCAGGCCGGTCCCCGAGGCTCGTCTCCCGCCCATGCTCGTTGGTGGCTTACTCTTCGCTATCGGGCTTTTCTGGTTCGGATGGACCGCGGCTCCTCAATTTTCATGGGCTCTGCCGACCGTGGCGGCAGGCTTTATTGGCGCGGGATTCAATGTCATTTTCCAGCAGTGCATCAACTTTTTAGTCGACTCTTACGGCCTCTACGCCGCTAGTGCTGTGTCGGCGAACACGTTTCTGAGGAGTTTGCTTGCTTGTGCGTTTCCGCTGGTCGCGAAGCCGATGTTTAGGAATCTTGGAGTCGGGCCTGCAATGAGTGTCTTGGGCGGTGTTGCATGTCTTGCATTGCCGGTGCCATTAATTTTCATGAGATATGGCCTAGGCCTTAGAAGGATGTCGAAGTTTGCTCCGGTACATGACTAGCTTCAGTATTTGGGTACGGATTTTACGATATATATAGAGGAGCACTAGGCGATCTTTTAGACAAAATAGACCACTGCTAGGCATTTTGCTACGATTTATAGCCGCCTAAGGTATTGTATCCCGGCCGGAAGCGAAGGGTAAAGGCGTCCGTTTGGGCTTTGAGTAGAGTTTCAGACTGTATACTCTAGGTAACTATACAAACAGGCGACGGCAGCGGAAGTGGAAGTCGAATAGAGTAAATGGCCAGGACTGGAACATACGTCTACAACCCCCAACCCGCTCGCTACACGTACCCGCCTCCCATCTCCGCAGACTTCCCCGTCCGCGGAGACGCCGTCCGGGGCTACAATCAATCGGGGCGATTTTTCCGAGGCAGATCCGCGTCACCACACTTTGTCTTTCTGCGACAAACGTACTCGAAGCTTGGAGTAAGTCTGTTGTTAATACTGTTACATTTTCGACGATCGGCGCGTCTGGTTCGGGATCCCGGGTGCGGCAAGAGAGTGGGGGACGGGGGGTGCCATCGTATAGGAACGGAAGGGGGGGGGATCCTGTTCATGAGGGACGTACTCTGTAGGTGGAGGAGCGAGGTGACGCCCGGAAGATGCACCCCGAGCGGTGCGCGGGACTCGCTCGTGGTTGATACGTTTGGTCTTGGTCGGGAGGGTGTACGGGGTGGTCAAGAGGGGGGTTGTATTTGTCATGTTCTTAAGTTGATGACATGCCTTTAGCGCATGCAAAACTTCTTGGAATGCTTGGCATTAGGATTTCTTTTCTCTTCCCCTTAACAAGTAACTGATTCAAATAATTAGCTTCACAGCTATGATTTCAATTGCAAAGAGTTCGACGTATGAGTTAGATACCGCATCGCTACGCATTTAACGCTATTAAAATATATAAAAAGAATTGAAGAAAATAACTTCGGCGTTTCGATGCGGAGTGAGCTTACTGTTATATTTTCTCGTCACGTGAAACTCTCTCTATCTTGAGTCAATTTTACGATTTTCGTGTTTTTAGAGCTCCACGAGCTCCTAGCTTTACAGTCGGCGTACCCTAACCCTAACCGTCCGGAGTTGAACCAAGAGATGCAATAGGAACCTTGGATAAACCCATGAAAATGTAACTCATAATGTGACAATCTTCAAGTCACGCCGTCTCGTCAATCACCTCTTCCAAATAGGAAGCTATCCTCATAATCTCATACGGAAAGAATAGGAACCTTCGATTGTAGTATCCCAAACGCCACATCGTCAGAGGGTACTCTGCTGACAGCGCATGCTGCTAACGACTCCATGTTGCTGACAGTGCATATCAACAATCGAGGCAGGAGACGGCCTAGAATGGCTGCTAAGAGGGACTATAATACGGCCAATATTGGCTATTCCTTTTCTACGACTCCCATTATCCTTTCTCAAGCATGCCCAGAATGACAGAACCGCCAGTTCCCCGTCGCATCTTTGTCTTTGATCATCCACGTACTGTGTCTCAGATGTTTCACAGGTTGTTTGCAAACCATGAGGAACTTGAGAACATCTTCCATCCTTTCATGGGCGCTTCTATGTACGGGCCTGAAAGGATACAACTCACTCTCAAACACTGCAGTGTTGCAGAAGATGCACAAGAAGATTTAGCCTTCAACGCTCATATGGAGAGAGAGACTTATCAGGTAGCGGCTCAGCGTCTCACAGAGTCAATTGCGACAGCTGAGAAGAAGGTAAATCCCATGACATGCAAGGAATGTGAATGAAGGCCCAGAGAGAATACTGACGGAGCGGCCTGCGTAGGGAAAGATAGCCTTTGTCAAGGATCACTGCTTGTGCCTTCTGAAACACAACAATTTTCGTGACAAGACTCCTGACTCTTTTTACGAGAAACCAAATTCAATGTTAAGCGGTAGAATATTAATGAGTAATCCAACATGGATCCCTGATGACCTTTACACATCTCTCTCACCCCTCATTCTTATCCGTCATCCGGCTCGCATGATCCCATCTTTCTACCGTACGCAGGCGGACGTGTTCAAATTGCAAACTGCCGACGAAGATTTCGCAATATACACCAGTTTCCGATGGTTACGGATCATCTTTGATTCTTATCGAGAGTTCTACTCGGAGAACGATGATCTCGTCCCTCCATACTCCAGCTGCAGTACGATCGACGGCACGAAAGAAAAGCCTATCTGGCCACTTGTAATAGACGCTGAAGATGTGGTATACAGCACTCAAGCCATTGTGTCAAAACTTTGTGACATCTGGCATATCGATTCGAGCGGGGTTCAGTATTCATGGAAAGCTACTCCAAAGGAAGAACGGCCTAAAGACAAGATAATGTGTGGATTCTTTGACACGCTTCTGAGCTCTACGGGGGTGATACAAGGGAACAAAGTACGCTCCAATCCTACCAAAATCTTACCGTGACCCTTCATTTCTGAACGCTGACTCAAGTGCTTTCTCTCCGCTAGCGTGACGACAGGTCTTTGGACATTGATGAGGAAACGGTGAAGTGGACGGCGGAATTCGGAGAACAGGTGGCTGCTGATCTGAGGCGGTTTGCAATAGCTGCGATGCCAGATTATGAATACTTGAGGCAGTTCTGTCTTTGTGCCGCTCGAGGTTATACTTAGATTCTCAACTTCTGAGTCTACTGACCACCTCACTTTTATATGCATAAAGTATACTAGAATAAACCAAAGGAGGCGGAGAAAAAAATCAAAAAATCTTGATGCCTAGGATTCCAAGAGGTTTTGTTTGGTTGCATGTGCCGGAAAGTGCCGGGTTCGCTCGCAAACGGCATGATTCTGATTGGTGGAGATGGTGACGTAATCATGCATGAATGGAACTCCGAGGACCCCGCAGCGGAATTAACGAATTTATCTACATTCGCCTCTCACTTCTCCTCTCCTTCTTTCTTACACCAAAACCACACTTTCTTCTTCATCAGCCCCCATTCCCACCATCACCGTATAATCAATTCACATCAAATACTACTATGGCAACACAAACAGCAGGCCATGGCCAAGCCAACGGCAAAGAGTTCGCTGGAAAGTTCAGGACTTACGAGGATGACCGTAACACTCCTAGCCAGGACACCCTTTACTCCACCAGCAATGGAGTTCCCATGCCTCACCCATACGAGACTCAACGTGCTGGTGTCAATGGCCCACTCCTCCTACAAGACTTCCACTTGATCGACCTTATTTCCCACTTCGACCGAGAGCGTATCCCCGAACGAGTCGTTCACGCCAAGGGTAGCGGTGCACATGGTACCTTCAAGTGCACCAAGCCTCTTGATGACCTCTGCATTGCCGATGTCTTTGCTAAGGCAGGCAACGAATGCCCAGTCACTGTCCGCTTCTCAACCGTTGGTGGCGAATCTGGATCTCACGACTGCGCTCGAGACCCTCGAGGCTTCTCCGTCAAATTCAGGACTGAAGAAGGGAATTGGGATATGGTAGCCAACAACACACCCGTTTTCTTCCTGCGTGACCCCGCCAAGTTCCCTCACTTCATCCATACTCAGAAGCGCGACCCAGCCACACATCTCAGCGGCAGCGATGACAGCACGATGTTCTGGGATTACCTGTCTCAGAACCCAGAGTCCATCCACCAAGTCATGATCCTCATGGGCGACCGAGGTATCCCGGACGGCTACCGCTTCATGCACGGATACGGTGGACATACCCTCAAACTTGTCAACAAGGCCGGTGACTGGGTGTATGCTCAAATGCACATGAAGTCCAAGCAAGGCACTAAATTCATCACCCAAGAAGAGTCTGCCAACTACTCTCCCGACCATTCCCAGAAGGATCTATTTACGGCCATTGAGAAAGGCGACTGCCCTTCATGGTCAGTCGAGTTCCAGACAATGACCGCCAAGGAGGCTGAGGAGCTGTGGGAGGAGCAAAAGATCAACGTCTTTGACTTGACACACATCTGGCCTCACAAGCAATTTCCTCTTCGTGAGGTTGGCGAGTTCACGTTGAACGAGAACGCAAAGAACTATTTCGCCGAGATTGAGCAGGTTGCGTTCAACCCAGCCCACATGCCACCAGGCATTGAGCCATCTGCAGACCCCGTCCTCCAGAGCCGCCTCTTCTCCTACCCAGACGCTCATCGTCACAGAGTCGGAGTCAACTACCAACAGCTCCCCGTCAACTCGAGCCGAACTAGCCACCGCGTTGCCAACTTCCAGCGTGATGGCAACATGGCGTTCTACAACCAAGGATCCCGTCCCAACTATCTATCCTCCATTGAGCCCATCAGCTTCCGCGAACGCTCTGTCGATCTCGACAAAGTCCACGGCCAGTTCATCAGCTCGGCAGTCACCTTCCTCTCTGAAATCAAGCCCGAAGACTTCAACGCTCCGCGTGCGCTATGGGAGAAGGTCTTCGATGACAAGGCCAAGGCCCGCTTCGTCTCCAATGTCTCTGGCCATATGTCCACATGCCGCTACCCAGAGATCATCAAGCGCCAAATCGCCATCTTCCGTCACGTGTCTGACGACCTCGCCACACGCTTGGAGAAGGCCACTGGTATCAAGGGCTACGAGGGAATCGCCAACATGCGATTCAATGGAACACACAATGGTAAGTCTGAGCTCTTTTTTTCATGAAACCGTCCGGTACTTGACGCTAACATCGTACAGGCATGGCTTCGGACCCCAAGCTTCGTCACGCCAATGGCATGAGTGGCAAAGTCAGCTCCAGCGCACACGACCACAACGGTGCACCGATCAAGGGAACGCACAAGGCCGATAGCATTGACCATGCTGGCACCAATGGCACAAGGGTAAATGGGGCTGCTACCAACGGTGCTAATGGCCACTGATTGGTCTCTCTCTTTCAGGTTAGAACGTGCTATGCTGGGGCTACTCGAAATGAATACATCATGAAGTTGTAGCTGCGGCTAGGAGAACTGGGAAAATTGTATATAGCATTGATGACTTACAATGGGATCTGATGTTACGCCAACTACACTCGCCGCACTTTTTCATGTGAGATGTTGCTTGCTACTATTAGTGTCTCCTCGGAAGTGGAAGTTTGTGTCTTGTTGATCACAACCAACTCACGACGACTTCTCATTGGCAGTTCCCCATCTTCGAACTTAGAATCGGTCCGACTTGCGAACTCTTCTTGACCGACGATGATTCGATAGTCGAGAGGAGCACAGTAGGTATGTTCGAGCCTTAATAAGTAATTACTCTCCGTCCTTAACCTCACTGACGACTCTTCACCCTTACACTTTCCACACCGCGGTTTCTTTCACTCCTCCACAGTCGAGGCCCTATAATACTCACGTCAACGCTTTTGTGCTTATGGGAAGTAGATTCATCATGATTTCATGGGTCGGGTCGCGACTCCTGGTCCTCATTTCGATTGCCACGCACATATACCGGCGAGGTCGAGCACTCGATTTCTACTGTGGGGCCTTTCGTCCGATGAAAAGCAGTCAGAGGCGCAAGCGCATATCTAAACCGACCATTCATCGTGCAGAGATCGATGATGACTACCCGTCTTCCCCTAGGCCGTCGGGAGCGAGCTCCGTGGGCGGAAATCAGAGGGTTAGGGATGTGGGCAGAGGTGGATTGGCGCAGTGGGAGAAAGAAATGAACGCGATTCTACGATCAGGCCTGGCGCAGAATGCCAACGATAGTTGAGATGTATGTCGTCTCCCTGTCCTGAGTGAAATCGTCCGTCTCCACGTCGTACAGAGCAGAAGAGGATGGGTTGGTGCCGTGATTCGTGCAGGCGTACAGGTCCGCGTTTGCACTCGTGTGGTTGCGGGTGGCTTTTCGTAGGTGTCGTCTGGATCTTTTCTTCTTTGTTGACTAATGACTTCGCAAAGAGATAAGTCAATGCGACGATGGGCCTTCTCGTCGTGAGCATTCATCCTTGACCTACTCAAACCTCTCCGGCAGACGAGCTGCTACAGGCTATACGCCGGGCCGACCGAGTCGGAAGTCGGAGAGAGCGTTGTTCAGTGAGCATACACACTCCATCCAAGTTCCCCGGCCGCTATCCCGCAGGCTGGCGAAAACTCGTCCGCCCTGCCCGGGGATGCCGGAACCCGTCTTCTGCCTATCCCCTTACAAGGGATGTGTGGTTCTCACCGGCCTGCGGGGCGTACCCCTTCCCCCTTCCCAGGTTAGATCACCTGCATGACAAAGTATGTGTGAGACGTCGTGTCCCTCCCAAAAGGACGATCTGCAGCCCCGTCGAGTCGCAAAGCCAATCATCGTACGGAGATCGAATGATGACTAAATATCTCCAGACCGTTGGGTCGAGTTTTATAGGCGGGGATAAAAGGGGAAGTATGTGAGCGGAGTGAGAATGGCGTCGTGGGAGGAAAAGGACGGGGGAGGAGGAAAGCTAAGAATCCGGTTTGATTGCGTAGGAGATGCCTCATCTTCTAGATCACGATGGGAGAATTTTTTCTGTCTGAAAGCTCACCAGCCGTCTCTACTACCTTTGCATCAGCGTCGAACTCCAACCTTTCCGATAATATTTGCGCACGTCTTATCTAGATGGCGGAACCTGTCTCGGCAGTCGTAGCGTTGAGCTTGCTAACGTAGCCTCACGATATACACTCGAGTTCCCAAGATATGGCAGCCTCCTCAAGATCCAAGCCAAACCTTTGGGACATAGCGCTGTCGAAGCTGCCTGGAGAAAAGCAAGTCGCTTTGCGATCAGGGCTCGGTTCGTCAGAAAAGTTCGACGCGCACGCTCTGACAGCTGTAGTAACCCAAGCGCGGCAGCGAGCGCTCTCAAAGCGATGGAAGATCAAATCGCACCATGGGGAGGTTGCTGTCTGAGATGAGTTTGATAAAATAGTATCATGGGTCAAAAAGTTCGTTGCAATCGGAGACAGTGCTGTGCAATACGACCCAACTCATGCGGCCCTTCCGTGGGCAGCCTTTCGTCTCGTGCTGCAGGTATGATCGTCAGCGTTCTTTTGTTTGGTATTCCTTGTGGCTGTGGGCCCCAGAAAGCACCCTGATCTCAGCCGCAGGTCTTCGTAAACGACAGCAGTAGAGCTGCCGAATTTGCAAAAGGGCTCAAAAGAGTGGCTCTCTGTATCTATGAATGCGCTTTACGGAAGACACTCTACCTGAAAGAGTCTTACGGGGTCCAAAAGCAACTAGCAAACAACATTGTTCGACTTTACATGGCGATTCTAGATTTTATTTAATGGGGCCGGAAAGTATTTCGAGACAAAAACGATTAGCAAGTTCTCACCGAGCCCTAGCTTTTTTGAACATAAATCTAACACTGTAGTTATAGGACGTATGATTTCCAGTGTAGTCAAGTCCGGGGACGAAGTTATAACTTTGCTACAGCCCGCTGCGCAATAGGCTCGCGACATATTCACCACGTCCAGCCTTATTGACTCCCAGATCCAATCGGAGTTATCCACGAATATCAAAGACATCCCGCAATCGTTACTACGGTCGCGTGCCTGGCTCCGACAACAGCTCAAGGAGACCGAGAAAATAGCAGGAATTTTGGTCTCAAACCACAAAGAGACGAACTCACGCTTCGACACAACCGACGAGTGCGCTAAACAGGACCATCGTCTCAGGATACTCCAATGGCTATCGCCAGTCCCGTACAGGGAGCACCATCGAGAGGAATTCGACGAGTTGCTGGATACCACGGGTCTGTGGTTTCTCAAAAGCCAGCCATATAGAACCTGGATGTTTTCTCATGAGACTGCTGTGATGTGGCTTCACGGAGCACCTGGTACGGGAAAGAGTAAGCTAACGTATGAGCCCGAGTGTAGCTGAATATGTCAAGTCCACTGTCTGCTTCATGATGATCGAAGATACTGGGACCTCGCACGCTCACTAGATCCCTGGCTCTGCAAAGTGCTCTCGAGGAATGTGGAGATGGATCACCGGTGCTGTACTTCTACTGCTCTCGCACTGCCGCAAAACCCGAGCGTGCTTGCGCGGAGGACATTTTACGCTGTCTGGTCAAAGCAATAATCGACAGGAACCGCTGGTCATGAAACAGACTGCCCAGAAGTACGAAGCCGCAGAGAAAATCGGATTTGCCTCTGGCAGAATGACGGTCGCTGAATGTCGAACAATTATCGCTAGGTTCGCGAATGACCACCAAAAGTTTGCATATCTGTGTTGACGCCTTGGACGAACTGGAAGAGCGTGCGCTCTCGTCTAAAAGCGTGAGGCGACTTTTCGAGCGATGTTGAGATTTCTTGCCGAGAGCGAGCCACAAACTGGATACGCGACAGTGCTCCGTTCTTTAGATGTGGATGGGTGGGACTCTTTCAATCTCGAAGGGTTTCTGAAAGCTGTACATATAGCAATAACTCGGACGGGAGAATCTCATCGGAAAGGAGAGATGGACGATGGTGAGATGGCACCGATCGCTATGTCCTCGGCCACAACTTTCAGCGGGTCCGCTGGGAGGTTGTCGCTGAAGAGAATTGTGGAGGAGTGGCGGGATGAAGACTTTCGTCAATCGGAATTCGGCAAGAGCGGATGCGATCATCAGTGAGCGGAAAGAGAAGCTCGCAGAGGAGCTCGGAAAATTGCAACTTAGCGGGCGAGAGGAAACGGGCACGTAGCGGTAATGATTTCATGAGGGTTTGAGGTCAGCGCGTTGAAACCTCCTTGTATTTGTTCATGGATAAAGTAGCTATCCATGGATGATATCCTTACTCGTGATGTCATAGTACCCACCTGACAGGCAATTAGGTATCAATAGCGTGTGTCTTCCATTGATTAAAATAAATTACCTGTGAGTTATAGGTCTTCTTTGTGGAAAGCCATTGCTACTATGTATGACATACTTCCCCAACTTCCCCCTACTACCTCAACTACCTCCCTTGCTACTACTACTACTACTACCCTCAGTACTCTCTGTACTATCGTTAATTAAACCATGTGGATGATTCAAGAAGACGATGCGAAAGGCTTGGTTCCTAACGTTGAAAGACAACGTACGGCGGACTACTTCGATCATCGCTGCTTGAGGGCGAGCGTCTGATATTGTCGATGGAGGAAGAAGGATACTTGAAGGCCAGGAGGATATGTGTACGCAGTGAGATGTGTATGCGGATGGCAATTTGTGAGAATGGCGAATGAAGGGTCTCGGCTTGATCATTAAATACATCCAAAATTCGACATGGCTTTGAAGTAGTGTTGTATTGGTTTGAAATTCGTAGGCGACGACGTGGGATCCACAGGTGACATGTTTAAGTCATTGGGGGTATGTGTTCTTGGGTGGATAGTATAAGTCAGTATGCTACCCATAGATAATTACTCTATTCTGTTCTATTCATAGATGAGATATATCCACCGATAACATGCACTAGCTATAGAATGACAGCGATGGTTTGTTCAAGATCAATCACAATACTCACGAATTGATTGATTGATCTAGCCGTCCACCATGCAGCCTCGAGCCCGCGTTCAGCACCGTGCTCAATTGGAAACGCTCTCGCATATCGAGAACGCCGTGGAACTGACCAGCTTGACCTCGATATCCTATAAACGGTAGACGTAGATAATCGGCGGGACCGGATCCCCGTACACACGTCCCGGGCCGGCAGCCGTAGAGGTAACCCACACTTCCGCAGAGCCGTCTGGCTGTTGGCACGTCCCGTGTGAAAAGGCCGTGTAATGTATCATCGTCATGACGTCGCGTACGTTGTACATCATCGACACATCTATTACCAATCACGGTCTTCGTCTTCCACCCCCAAGCGTCCAAGACTGATGAGGCGTCGTCGGTACTGGGATACAGACCTGGAATGGAATAGCTGCTTACCCGCGAGAGATCGGAGGATTGAAACTCTTGGCCAGATGAGCGGAGATCGATCTCGTGACTAGATGCAAAGAGCGGCGCAACGTTCGTCGAGAGCAGTGGTGGCATTGTGTATGCCATCCACGCTTGTTTATTTTTGTTTTGTTTTCTTGACAGGCAGAATGCCAGTCTTTGCGCTTCCTGTCGCGGAGGTTCGTTGGGGTGAGGCAAGGAACCATTTGATCCCATTTTCTTATGGACGCTTTGGAGATTACATGGTTCTCTGTTGCTTCTTCAATGAGCGCTTCGATTTCATGTATCCGTGCAATAAGACCCCTGTTTCATGGTCTTCGAAATTGATAATCAGCTCGCGAGATCGCATGGTAGATGCCGTCAAGCTTGACTGATGTCCTACGTACACATCCCTAGCATTCGGAACCTCTCGCTGGGTGGGTGCGAAAACTACCATTGTGGAGACGGCGACCGTTCGAAACTTGCACCACGTCGCGATTGGTGAGCATGGCTTGTCTCAAATTTTCGAATGGCACCCATTCTTTTTTATTCTTTTTTTTTCCCGTGAGATTCTCGTTCTCAGATCGATCCTTTTCGCAGCCTTGTAGCACGAGCCTGATGGTGCCTTGTGTGCGCATGTCCGGACCCTATGCAGGTACTGTTGCATTGCATGTACATATCTGCGGAGCTGAAGGTGGTTGCGCACGTCATTCGGATGGCACACGATGTGTAGTGAGCCTTCCCTTGGCTGGACACTATATGCTTTATGGAATGTAAAAGTCTTGACGCTACTGCATGTTGTATGGATTACACTCTCTCTTCTCCAGTGGGGGAAAGACGGTGCACCGTTCTCATCCGCCTTTGTGCCGTGTACCGCACGGTTGAGGCCCGCTGCAGGCGGTGCGTACATATTGAGTTCAGCTTCAGCTCTGATGCCTACCGACGGCCCCCACGGACGGTTCTAGTATTCCGCTAAGCGTTCAGCGCGCCTTGCCTGATCGGGCAAAACTTGACGAAATGTTCCTAACCGTGCATGCTAGAGACGCACTGGACACAAGATTTGACTGCCGAAAAAAACTCGCAGCTGGCACACCCCCAAAGTTAGGTATTGCCGCGCCTCTGTGTACGTTCTTTCGTGGTGTTCGGATGGCATGGGATCCGGACTAGGGGCCTGCAAGAGCGGAGATGAGAGAGTGTGGTGAATGGTCAGCTGAGCATTGGGTTTGCGTCGCTTTCTCGCAAAGCATGTCAGGCTGAGCGGAGGAGATCTATATAAACCCCAGCGAGGACCGTGGATTTTCGGATTCCACGGTACGACTTTTATTCACTCGTCAAATCCCTAAACATATAGCGAACATGTGGTTCACTACTACATTACTGTCGATCCTCACCTTGGCCACGGCCTCGCCCATGGGCTCCATTCAGCGTCGCGTCAACAAAGAAGTCCTCTTCAATACCAACCAGGCGTTCACCCTGCAGCCTTCGAACAGCCCAGTCGTCAGTCTCTGGGGCGGCATCGATACCTACTTCCAAGGCGACGGTAACTTCGTCGTGTCAGTCTTCCCTCTCACCTCCCCGCCCATCTCTCTAGTTAATAGTCAAACTATCCTTCATCTCACACTCCCGTCAATTATTTCCTTCCCCTTAATCTGACGATGAATATGCCCACAACAGCTACAACGGCGATGCAATCTGGTCCAGCGGCACAGCTGGGCACAACTGTGAATCGGGCGATACCTGCCGCCTAGCCTGGCAAGGCGACGGAAACCTCGTCGTCTACATCAACGGTGCCGCTCTCTGGAGCTCTGGCACTGCGGGCAGGGGCTTGTTACTCACGTTCACGGCGCAAAGCTATGCCATGGAAATTACCGGCGTCGAGAGCGAGGGTAGTGCGCCGATTCTTTGGAGGACGCCCGAGACGGGGAATCAGCCTGATCCGGGCCCTGGGGGGCCGGGGGTGTGTGATGGTGCGAGTTGTTTCTCGTGTGATGACTGCGTCGTTTCTTCGGAGTGAAGGTGGGGAGGTAGAGTGGATTCAGGGGTACGGATAGGACATTGTTAAGATGGATAATGGTATTGAGTAGAAGGCTGGATGAGATGGGAAGTGTTGTGGACAGTACGCTTAGGATATGTATTCATTTTCTTACTGAGATACACATGAAAATCCAAAAAATTGCAAACATCTCCCTTGTTCTTGCGCTCCATATTTGCGTTTGATTTGAAGTGGGTTGCTGATCATGAATATGATCCATCTCACCGCTTGGAGCTGTGAGCTGGTCAGCCCTGATGATGCGCGAGCACCACTATGCACTTGTCAAAGACGGTTAGCGTCTTCTCCTTTGTTGTTCAACATCTTCAAGTGAACCGTCAGCTCCGTGGAGTCTGTTAAATTCGTCACCTCAGACTTTCATGTCTATAATGCTTGCATGCCTTGCCAACGCGAGTCCCTTCCCAGTGATCTTCATAGCAGCTGCGGCAGCCCTCAGGTTCTCAGTCTTGTCATCCGGTCCCTTGCCTGCTTTAATTTTCATCTGCTTCCAATGGTCTTGCGAACGCTTTGGCACTGAGGCCATGGCTGCGTGTAGAAGCTCCTGAACCCGGAGTCGATCTGCCTCGGACGGCACAATCCCAGATAATGTTTTCGATTGCGAACGATGACGTGCCAGGCCCAGGGGCGTTCTGCTTCGGGCCAAGTCTGTGACTGCAAGCGGATATGCGTTCCTCTGGAGCAACATGTCTACGGTGGCTGGAGAAGCGTTGAAAGCGGCTAGATGAAGAGGTCTCCAACCTCTGCCACAGGCTGAATCAACCTTTGCACCTTTGCTGAGCAGAAACCGGGCAATATCGTCATGGTCGAATTCTACAGCGAGGTGAAGAGGCTTGCTTCCCGGAAATGGTCACAGTGCCTCAGCCCAGTACCCACTGTCGACGAGAAAGTGAGTGTCAACCTTTTTGTACTCTGTCGAACCCATCTTTTCTTCGATTGAGGCGCCTAAATTCACCAATTGTTGAACTATTGCTGCATGTCCATAAGCAACCGTGATGTGAAGCGGCTTCCAGCCGAAGCCGTTCTCAGCGTTTACATTCGCTTTGTGGGAAACCAACAGGTTGACTGTGTCAGTACTTCCAGCACGAGAAGCCCGATGAAGCGGCTCTTCGCCACGACCGTCTTTGGAGGTGACACATGATCCACGCTTACACCGAAGAAGGCAATCAGTTGCTCCAAAGTGACCCGCTGCAACGGCTAGGTGGAGTGGCGTCTCTTTTTTGGCTGTCGTTGGCTTGCTTGAGATTTTCCGGTCAGCCAGTTGCTCGATGACTAGAGTTTGGCCGTGGTGAGCGGCAAAATGCAAGGCTGTCCAGCCATCACTGTCCTTTCCTTTGAATTTGGCCTTTTGGCGCAGCAATAATGTCACCATCTCAGGATTCCCACTTTTTGCAGCTAGAATTGCTGGCTTATATGCATCGTCCTTGAGACCCTTCAGAGTAGCCCCTCAGTCAAAGAAGCTTTCAACCATGCGTACATATCCAGTCTCAATTGCGCCAAAGAAAGCAGCAACAAATTGGTATCTGTCGGCCGTAGTGTGAGTCGAGCGAGTAACAAATCTACTACTTCCCGGTATCCTGCTGCGATGGCTAGTTTCATTGGAGTTTTCGGGTCACCATCCCGTCTCTCGGACTGAGCGCCATAGTCGAGTAGTGAGTTGCATACGTTCGGGAAACCACGAGAAGCGGCGACACGAAGGGCTGTCTGTTGCGATGCGTCTCTTGCCTCGACGTTGGCCTGTCTTTGTAGGAGAAGCATCACCATGTTGGCATGAGAGGCCCACGAAGCAAGATTAAGAGGTGTCAAGCAGCTCGAACCTTGAATGTTAACAGCGGCACCTCTGTCTAGAAGGGCCTTTGCAACAAGGAGATGTCCGTTTTGGGCAGCGTGATGTAGCACACTCATATGCTGCGAGTCTAGATGCTGATGCGAACGACGATGGTCCAGAAGCAAATCGACAATCTTGTGGTGCCCCTGTACCGAAGCTTCGATCAAAGCATTACGTTTTGTCTCACTGTGGACAGCTTCAATGTGGGCTCCATTGGCGAGCAGCTTCTCCACAATTTCCCCCAGACCATCACTTGCAGCTCGTACCAGCAGCGGGGAACCATCTAGCCCGGGCTTGTTAACAACAAACTCAGAGGGATTGAGCGTTGGAACGACCGCAGAGGTGCTTGAGGCAGCTGTGTTGCCAAGAGGGAGACCAGTCTTCGTTCCTGAGGACCAGCTTGGGTGTCTTAGAAAAGGCCCGCCAACTACCTCGACGCTCTCTAGAGGTGTCGGAGACTGCGTCATTGTTCCTCGTGTCACTGAAGCCGCCGTAGCGTGCTCATGATACGAGTCTATCTGTAAAGATGCGTTCGTTGAAGGCAGAAGACTAACATGAGACTTTAAGGATCCGAGCGGTTTCCTCCGTATAGAATACACGGAAGAAAGCGGAGATGCTGGAAATGTGGTACCGCGAGCGTCAGAGTGAGTTGACGATGGTGTGAATGCAGAGTCCGCGGTCCACACAGATGAACCTTTACTGAATAAGCTTGGATCCCGACTGTTTGGAGCAGAGTCTGCTGTGTTTGCTGTCAGGAGAGATACCCTGCTCATGTTATCGGTGAGATGAAGGCCAGCCTTGGATTGCGAATGATGCATTAATAAGACTCGGCATTTGGAATGCTTGGACTATATGCGCTAGGTGGAGCTGTCTCTACGGCGGTGACGGAAGGTCTGATTGCCTCCTGATCAGTATGATTGCGACTCCCGTCCTCATTTTGCGATACAGTCGCATATATCACGTCATTTGACAGCCGAGGTGGTAGCTCGCTGTCGTTGTTCGTCGGCTCCTTTGATTGCCAAACATCGTCCATCAGTTGTTGTGGAGGCAATTCTGGCAGCGATCGCGCAGAGCCTGTCTCTTCCCGAAATGATTCCGCTGACAACTTTGGTACACCCCAAGCATCTCGAGGTAGAGGAGTGGGAGTAGCGCCAAATGTTTCATGATAGAGCACATTCGGAACGCTTTGTGACACTGGATGGCTCGTCTCTTGTAGCTGCCCACTGACCAGTGAGCTGGCATTTTGTATAGTAGACGTGTCTGCTTTCTGGGCATGGGCAATCTTGAGTCCATTCGCGGGAGAAGGTAATGTGCCATTTCTTCGTGGTAGATCGGTCTTTTTGTTTGTGTCATGGATAGCAAGAAATTCTTCGTAGGCGGACGGTATAGCGGACGATTGGTCTTGGGAGGCGGCAGGCACATTCGTCGTCGTCACTTTTGCTAAATGGCTCCCCTGCTCTTCCTGCGGCTTTCGCCGTATGGTATATGCTTGTCGGATCGCGAATGCTCGAGCGGCAACGTGCCGGAACGACGCGGCTGATCTTCCAGGAGCCGACGGCGTGCATCTTGGGTCCTGTCGGCTTTTCAACTCATCTCTGGAGACATCGCTTGCGTACACTGGAAGCGTGGTCAGGGTAAATTGTAGCAAACCGCCGTGCTCACGCAACTCTGCCAGATGCCCCTTGAGAGGATCCACATTGAATACGAATTTTGCCTTCAGCCAGCTATCCCCCAATGAGCCGTGGGAAGTCCAGTTGTAGCCAGTTATAGGACCAATGGCAGTATTCTTCTCCGTAACCTTATGTAAGGTCGCCTCCAGATCTTTCATTGACTCGTAGATTAGGCTGAGCGCTTTGCCGACGTTCAGCAACTGTAGTCTCAACTCGCTGAAGGCCTCTTTCTCTTGGTTCTCCAGCCATTGTTTGATGGTTTGGGCGGAGTTATAGGAGACGTCGCATTGGGCTTCGATAGATCGCACTGTGCTATTTGACTCTTTGTAGCTTGTGTGGATGTGTTTCAGGATTTTAGCGATCTCAAGGCAAAATTTTGGAAAGGGCGACGGCGGTGCCGATGGTGGAGAAGATAGTCGCTGGATCCATGACTGAGAGGAAGGAGGAAGGAGAAAGGAGGAAGGCGTGAGAAGCAGAGGTCGTACGTTTGTATGTTTCGAGACTGCATGCACTGCTGAGGCGAGGGAGCTACACCCCCTGCTGCCTGCTGTCGGGACTCCATCCATGGCCATCTGGTATCTGCTCTTGAACTCATGGCTTCCATCTCCGGTTTGAATGGAGGCGAGAATGATGAGGCATTAGAGAATAGGCCCATTGGTTGCCGCATCTGCGTCCATGTCAGATAGTAAGGAGCCATTGAAATTGTAGGCGAAGTCCAGCTGCTGTAACCTTAGGTCGGACCTACCACGCGGGTTCCAGAACTGGTCGTACACCCTAGCGCCTAATTTGGACTAGGGTGTACGACGAATTCTGGAACCCGCGTGCCTACTTAAAGTTAAAGTAGGGGTGCTTCGCCCAAGGTATTACTCTATTAAGTTAGCGGCCGAAGGGTAGGGCTACTTCCGCATTGAAAACATTATGAAAAATGGTATGAAAAATGTTGCTAAAGCTCACTAATGTCGCCCGCGTTCGAATTTTTAGAACGATAGTATTAGATCGCTTAACAGAGAGCTTAGGAAATGATAACCTACCTATTTCATTGTCAATTAATACATACCAGTATATGATAACAGCGCGTAGAAAGACTTGCCATGAGCCAATAAGACAGCTGGCGACGAAAGAACGAGAGGCTCGATCGTCACAAGTATAACCAATCCGAGGCAGCAGCCTCGAAAGACCCATCAGCTGATGGAGGCGCAGTGCAGAAAGATTAGAAGATCGACGTCGTTGTCTATCTAGACTGCACTCAGGGAGGAGCTAACGTTGTGGTGGTGAGAACTATTGCCTAGCGCAAAAACAAGGTCGCCTTTTATTCAGGCGTTAGAAATGGAGATGTTCGAAGGATTCTTGGGGGCCAAATAATTGTTTCCCGAAAATATATAAGCGATTTACATGAAAACTTGGAGCCCGCTGTTTCCTTCATCATTTGTTCCCAGGACTTTCCCTGCACTAACCCAGGACCTACTCACGGCCTGCCCATCACCAAGAACAAACATGTTCAGGCCACCGGTATCTAGTCTCAGCACCATACATCTCGCATTACTGCTCCTCACCACTCCTGCTACTAGCGACCCCTGCACCTTCAACAACACCGCAGCGTGCGACACCCAACAGATTTGCACGCCCATCGAGTACACCAAATGCCTAATCGCGCACAATTCCATCACCGCCTCAATAGCCTGCATCGGCGAAGCCAACAAGCTGCTGACAAACTGGTGGAATGAACCCCCCACCAACCCAAATACCTGCAACACCAAAAATCCCGACGCGGACGACGACACCAACGACATCGACAACTTCCTCGTATCATTCGGGCAGGAGTTTGTCAAGGCGGCCGATAGCCTCAGTTGTAATTGCAGCCCGGGCGGCGCTATCAGTGATTGCCATATGGACTGGACGGACGACGCGGCCTTCGCAAAGTGCCTTTGTCAGGATGGAGTGTCGAATAATGACCTGAGGTGCTTGCATAGCTGTTTGCAGGCGACGGGGGTGGAGTATTGTTTTTCGGATTTCTGTAATGCAGGAGCAAAAGCGGGGACTTTGTTTGATCAGGCGGTGTTGGGGTCGTGCAAAAATCCTACGAACGAGGCGGCGTCGGGTGGTGATTCAGGTGCCGCGGACACCCCTGATGCACCTGCGGCTGCCACTTCTGTGGCCGCTTCTTCCTCAGCTCTATCCAGCACCGTGAGTCCGAGCAGTCCAGCTGCTACAGCCAACCAAGCGGCGTCGCCTTCCAGCACTTTGCCGTCACCGTTGACATCGGCAACAACGAGCCCAACAAAATCTGGATCTGAAGCAAGGCGTATAAAAGCGAGTGAATTAGGATACTTGTTCTTGATTATATACATCGTACGTGGATAGTTCGGAGAATGTAATTAATATCGACCTGACCCTATATATTTTGGATTGAGGACCCGACTCTATATAAATTCCAAATTCACGCTCGTCATATGGTTCGGCAACTTGCTTCGAACTTTCATTCAACACGTCATCGTCTGCCTAAAGATCAAAGCCGTAAGCTCTCGACACACAGCACAACGCGGTCGACATGCAGCCACACCACTCTAGCATAGAGACAGAGGGTCTCACCAGTTTGCCCTGCGAACTCACCTACATGATTGTGTGACAACTTCCCGTCGAAGATCTTAAGAACATGGCGTGTATCTGTCGCATAGTGGGGTCGAAGAAGAAGAAGAAGAGAGTCCGAGCTGAGAGGGTCTCACTTTAGACCGAAAGAATATGAAGGAAAAACAGCGAGGAATGTCGAGGGCTTTCAATAAATTTCTTGATTTTCCGTCAAATAAGGCCTTACCGTATTAGGCACTACCGTAGCCGCCTTACCCGATTCGGTAACTCACGTAATTTACGTAGTATAAAGTATAGAAAGTAATATATATATACCCCTTTAAATTCGATTAGCTTTCGCGCGACCGCTAGTTATATAAAGTATAAGTCTTATATATAATTAGAGTAGAGTTAAAAGAGATAAGACTATATAAGACGAATAGCGAGATAATCGATAGCGAGGTAAATATAATACGCTAGTCTATATATAGAATAACGAGATTATATTTAATATCTTTTAGCTATAGAAAGACTAGATAGTTAATAGATAATAGATATTAAGTATAATAGAGATATTTCTAATAGTAATAAGAGAGAATAGCTAGTTAATTAGCTATCGCTATAGAAAGATAATTTAAAAATCTTATTATTCGACGATTTAAAATTATCTAATCTTTTAGACTTTATTAGAAGAGATTTAAAAAGACTTATCTTATTACTATTAAGAGTCTTAGTAATATTTTCTAGAAAGCTATACGACTAGCGATCGCGCGAAAGCTAATTAAATTTAAGAGAGAGTATATATATATTAAAAAGAAGTATATATATATAAAAGAAGATATACGTATATTATATATTTAAAGTATAAGTTTCTTATTCGCTTTTAACGTAACTAGTAATTTAAGTAATATCTATGTTTATTTAATAAAAAAGACGTTTTTCTCGATATAAGCGTAATTATTTAAGATAGATTTATAAAGTTAATAGAAGTATTTAATCTTATATACTTATATATTATATAAGTAAAGATCTATAAATTAAATTCATAAAGTTAAATTTTTTATTTTTCTAAATTAAATAAAGTTAAATTTTTCTAAGTTAAATGAAATTTTAGTCTTAGCTCTAAGTTAAATCGAACTCTAATCGCTTACTATACGTTTTTAATTTACTTCTATTATTATAAAATTAATAAAGAAAATTCAAATTCTAACTCTAAGTTAAATCGAACTCTACTTACTTTCTATATAATAAATAGTTTACTTCTATTACTATAAATCGCTAATTAATTATATTCTTATTTAAAAAAGAAGTATTTACTTAATAATCTTATTCTTAATATATCTCGCTAATCGAGTAAATTATTTTCTTAATAAATCGTTTAAAACTATAATTAATAGATTAATTTTATTAATAATTTAACTTAAAGCTATATATAATTAACTATAAATAAAGATCTCGAGATATAGATATAAGCTAATCTACTATAATAACTAGCTTTAAAATTTATTAATTATTATATTAAAGATTTATTAAATTAAAAATTAAATATATTAAAAAAAAGTATATAAATTATTTAAATTAAGCGGAGCTAGAGGAATACGTAATATATAATATTATTTATTATTATATTTATTCTTAAGAATATAGTAATTAAGTATCTTAAATCTAATATATTTAACTTATAAACGTATTCTATTATATAAATCTATACGCTACTTTAAATTTCTTAATAATATTATTATATAATTTTATTTTAATTTTAAATAATAGAGTAAAAATAAAATTAATTTAAAGATATTTATTATTTTAGTAGATAGAAAAAAGCTATCTTTCTTATTAATAACTTAATTTTTACTTTTATAAATAATTTTAATTTTAAAAAACTTATTAAAAACTTAACTATTAAATTAGATAATATTCTTATTAAGAGTATAAAGAATTATCTTAAATATATAGAAATTAGCTATTTAATATAGATTAAAGTTATTATAAATAATATTAATTAGCTAAATAATAAAGTTATTTAATAATTATTTAATAAATTAATTAATAGCTTCTTATTCTTTAAAGCTTATTAAGATATTATTATTTATATCTAATAGCGTTTAAGCGAATTTCTTTATATTAATCTAATCTTAATTAATTAAATTAAAATTTCGAAATCTTATATTTTCTATTAATCTAAAAATTTAAATATAATTATAAAAATAAAATATTTTTAATATAATTTAAGCGATATAATTTAACTTAATACTCTTAATAATTAAAAAAATTTAATAAAAGTTATTATAGAAGTATATAACTATATTATTAAAAGAAGTAGAATTTTTTTAAATATTTTAGAATATATAATTAATAATCTCGATATTATAATAATTTTATATAGAGATCTTATTTTAAAAAATAAGCTTAATCGCCTTTAATAATTAAATTAAATTAAATTTTATTAATATATTATAATTAAACAAGTAAAGGCCTATAAATTAAATTTATAGAGTTGAATTTTTCTAAGTCAAATCGAACTCTAATCGCTTGCTATGCGTTTTTAATCTATATATAGATATATATATATAAAGAGAGACGCGCTAAGGCCTAATTAGAAAGGTGTATCGAGTATAAAGAATTAATTCGTAATAATTACTTATAAAAATAGAGAAAGGCTATATTCTTATGATAAGAAGTATCGAAATATCGAAAAGAAATAAAGATAATATATTAATTAGTGGTGTGAATCCCATATTATCTTCTATCGCAGTGAAATCTTTCGAATAATAAAATAGCTATTAGAGTAAGATATCGGACGATTTTAATTCGTTTAAATATATATCGTTTAATATTTCTTCTATAGAGGTCTAATTAGCTATAATCGTCGTAGTAAATTCTTCTCTTATAACGTTATTATAGTAATATATTATATTAATATAATAGAAATAATAGATTAAGTTATAATAATATTCTTCGCTTACTAAGTAATAATTTAATATAAAATCGTAAAGAGTATATAACGTGAGATCTTAGAGAGTTAAGTCGTATTCTTAATAATAGTAATCTTATTACCGCTTAATTTCTCCGTAATATTCTTTATAGTATTCTTTATAATATTCTTTATATTTATCTATTATAATTTCTTCTCTTACTTCTTAATATAGTAAGAATAATAAATTAAATTATAGTAATATTCTTCGCTTACTAAATAATAATTTAATATAAAATCGTAGAGAGTATATAACGTAGGATCTTAAAGAGTTAAGCTATATTTTTAATATTAGAGATCTTATTATCGCTTAATTTCTCCGTAGTATTCTTCGTATTCGCCTACTATAATAACTTCTCTTATATTAACTAAGTAAATTAATGTAAGATTATAGAGAGTAGGTCTATTATATTACTACTACTAATAATTATCTTTATAATATTCTTCGCATTTATCTACTATAGTAATTTCTTCTCTTACTAAGTATCGAGTTAGTGTAAGATCGTAGAGAGTAAATCTATTATATTACTGCTACTAATAACTATCTCCGTAATATTCTTCGTAGTATTCTTTATATTCGTCTATTATAGATTCTTCTCTTATTTAACTAAGTGCGAGAGTATTAAGAGTAAATATATTTATATTAAAATTAATAGAACTAGTAGAATTAATAGAATAATAAAAGAAGAATAATTATATAAATAGGTGAAAGGATTATTATTCGATCCCGGACGCGTCTAGTATAATTATTATATTTTTAGAAGCTTCTTCTTAATAATATTTAGAATCTAATACGCGTTAAGAGGTTTTAAAATAGAGTAAAAAAGAAAGACGCGTCTTGAGAGGTAGCATCGCTAGATTAAAAGATATTATCGCTGGCTTGAGAGGAGTAGCGAATTCGTTAAGAGATAATTTAAAGGCGTTAATAGGGGCTCTAAGAGGTGAGTAAAGGGGTATATATATCTTAGACGTTAAATAACCTTTAAATGAGAGGTATTAAAGACGCTTATATTTATATTAGTAAAATTAATAGAATTAATAGAATAGTAAAAGAAGAATAATTATATAAATAGGTGGAAGGATTATTATTCGATCTCGGACGCGTCTAGTATAACTACTATAACTACTATATTTAAATATCTATTTAATCTATTAATAGTAGACTAAACTTTATTATTTTTATAGCGTTAGAAAGCGTATACTAAGCTCTATAATTTACGAAATTATAAAGTAATAATATTCTTAGAAAGATAGTTATTTCAGAGTATAAGACTTCTATATATAAATTTTTAATAAGAAAAAGGCGAAAGAACTATTAGATTAACTTAGTCGGTCTAATTAAAAAGCGTATAGAACTCGAATTTATAATTAACTGCATATATAAATTCAAGGTTTTCAAGCTTAGTCTTATCTTATTCTTTTATATATATTAATTAAGTAATAATATTAAGAGAAATCTTAAAGTAAGTATTATAAATTAATTCTTTATACTCGATATACCTTTCTAATTAGATCTTAGCGCGTCTTCTCTTCGTATATATCTATCTATAGACTATATAGAGTAATATAATACTTTTATACTATATTAATATTATAATATTAAGAATTATTTCTTAATAAATAATAGTAATATCTAAAGATTACTTTAATAGAAGTTTATTAAATTTATTCGCTTATTTATAGTGCTAGCTAGTTACGCTACGTCTCTATCTATCTTAATATCTATATCGCTTATCTATTAATAACTTAGTTTATTACGTAGAGTTACTATATATAATTAATATCTATATTACTTATCTATTAATTAGT